AAGGTTACACCTCCACTATAAAAGAGGACAACGTTGTGCACTCCACTGCAGCTGTAGCTGGACGCGAACACATGCATGGGCCACCGTGATCAAGGGGTGGGACGGGTAGATGTGGAAGGGGATAGCGAGAGTTGATCGGATCAGTGAAGAGGGGTGAGATGGTTAGCTGTTGATCATTGCATTGCATAACTGTGGAGGCAAAAAGATCAGTGAAAGCAAAAATATGAAGAGAGAAGGGACCAATCACTAGCAGACTCATATGAAGTGTTTTGAATAAAAGCAAAAATTTGAGTCAAGGAATCCAACATGCGACCTTGCATCTCTGAAGCAGTGTGCCTATCCACTACGCCATCGGCCGCTCGCGCATAGAGTTATCGTTCTCAACTTGAGCGAACAGAGCAGAGATTAAATGGTCCGTAACTCCCTTCAGAGAATCGTTCCGCAAATTCCGAGGGCAGATTTGGATTCAGCGGCTCAAGACACGTCCATATATATACATCTCATTGCAAATGGCCGGATCGACCTGTTGGGGCTTCCCTTGTAAGCGGTCCACTACAGCGCTACTACGCGCCTACCTTATTTCGGATCACTTTTGAGTGACTGCACAGGCACATGGCAAGGATCGAGACCCTCGAAGATGGAGGGACATCGTTCTTCAATCAATCATCGGTCATAAGTGATATAAAAAACTTTGCCAGGAAGATTAGGCATTGTTCACAGTTTGCGACCCTGACGAAACGGCGGTTGGGAGAAAAGCAAAAAATAGTCATCGATCGGAGAATCGCCAACCGCTAGTTTCGCCGAACCGCCGCGGTTCGGCGGTTGGGCGAAAAGCAATAAATGCGGATTGGGCGAAAAGCAATAAATGACGCGTATCGATTTCGCTTAGCGAAAAACGCCAGGCCGATCGAGCTAGCGTTTCGTCGAGGGCGAAAAACGCCGCGGTCTGGCGAAACGCCCGTCGACTCGTATCAAAACCCTTGTCCGCCGAACCGCTGCGTTCCAGAGAAACGCTGGGCTGCAGACTGTGAACAATGCCTTAATCGCTCTCAGCTTGTAACCACTTCATCATCAACCGCTGTTGTTCCTAACCCACACGTTATTTCACCTACAGGAGGCAAAACTCAACTGTTATAACGACGCCTGCTATGACTTTAGTGGGCTTTCGCTTTTTACACAGCTCTTTACTTCACCCTGTGGGCTTTTTATAGTTAATATCACTTCTTCTCATCCACCATAGATGTTCCGGCTCCCCCTTCAACGTATCACCTTGTTGGAGCCAAGCCTCGCTGTTATTGCGATGCGTATTATGAACTTCCTGAGAAACCGACTCATGCACACAGACATGCGCAGTGGATCATGTACAGTAAGAAGTTCATATAGGAGACTCTTATTTCAAAAAACAAAATCAAAATATAAAAGGGTTTATGTTAGGCAACTTAATTAATACAGCCAATAACGGTGAGAAAAAGGATATGTACATGAGAACGAATCAATATCTGTCTGAAATAAGCTTCAGTTGTCGACCACTTCGTCACCTGGGATCCAGAAACACTGCAAAATGGTTTGATTAACCACAGAAAACTTGAAATAAAGTTGAAAACTTTGAAAAAACCGAGAACATTATTTGAAAGCACAGGAAAACATAAAAACGGTCCGCTGCAAGCTGTTTTCGTTTCTCCAAAATAGCGAGAACAAGAAACATTTCACCACACTACAGAACGTTTCCAATGACAATGTTGTTTCAGAGCGAATGGCAGTTAGAATGACAAAGTGTTCAAAAAAGAAACCATGGGAACTGCGGGAACTGAGAAGAACGAGTATAAAATGTAATATGACAAGAGGCCGAAATGATGGAACACCACATTTGCTTTGAACGAAAAACGTAGACAAATAGGAAATAGGAAAGTCGGATCGTCCGGCAAAGCCGGCTTTCTTGGCCCGATTTCCATTTAGAGAAACATGCCCTGTTCACCGCAAGTATGCCACTCTCATTGTCTCGATACTGAATTCTGAACTTAGCAGCAGGGCCTCCCCCTCTACCCCCACAATCGATGCACATCACACTCACTACGGGTGTCTCTCACACATTTCAACTGACAACCCCGTCGCTGACCTTCACTCATATTCCACAGCCGCCTCTGCTGGATTCGTTTTTGAAATTTACATCCTTGGCATCGCCCTCTACGGCGCACGCCCCGCCCACTGTAGGCGGAGCTTAGCTTACCTGTCATGTACTTTGTTGACGTTGGCTCGTGTCACATCCTTCCTTAGCATGATCAGTCCTCCAAAGTGATTTCTCAAATAGCCCCCAGTTCCCGAGGGGACACACGGACACACAGACACATGAGCAACTTATTCATATATAGAGGAATATACAGATTTTGCGGTATTGCCATTTTACTTCATTTACGATTACATTTCGCCACTCTCACGCAATATGACGTAAGGGTTTAGGGCCGATCTAACTCTAGACAGAAGTCTCCACCTCTAGTGCCATCCCTTTCTGCCGTCCTTGGGAGCAAAAAAAGATGAACAAATGAAACAAAACTGGTCGATTGCCGAAGGAGTTCAAATTGTATTCATTCAAGAAATTTGCTAGAATAATCTTTCCAAAAAGAACCTAGTAGATGTTAGTAGATGCTGAACATTTCACTGTCTGAGGCAAGGTGTGAAAGCAAAATACATACCAGTTTCGTGCACGCTGAGGCCACCATGAAATGTTTAGGGTTCCATGACACAATCCGCAGGTGATTGTCGTGCTCTGTTTCGAAGGTAGCTATTCTTTTTCCTATAAAAACGAAACTATAAAGCGCCAAAACTAGAAGCTGCCGCGGGGCGAACTATATAACGCACCTGTTTCTGTACACCAAGCATAGATGCAGCGGTCTGATGAACCACAAAACACAAACTGAGAGTCAGGTGAGAACGATGCTTCTAGCGCCTCTGACTGGAAAAAAGTAGATTTTGTAACAAAGCGTTACCGTAAAGAAATCTTTAACTCAACACAAACATCATGAGATCAATTTTAAAAATATTTCAAACTTCTATGGAATTTCTCTGCGGAAAAAGGAGCAGTGAACACTCCACAGAAAAACTCTGACCTGGTCATTTCGGTGTCCTTCGAATGTGGTCTTCAAGTTTCCATTGAACGCATCAATCAACCTAAATAATTAAAGAAGTAACCTTAATGAGCTGTAGCACATCCAATTAATATGGCAAACGGTCAGAATCGAGCAAGGATAGTAGGGGCGGGGGAGGGGGCGAGGGTACTGTGTGAGGCTGGGCTAGGTCAATCCATGTCTGCTTATCAGCAGCGCCATACCGAATGGGTAAGTTTTGTACATACTCACTCTAAGGAATTGAAAAGTTAAATAAAACAAGGCAGAGGAAAATGGACACGACAGAGAGAAGTGGCACAGTCGCCATGCCGTTTGAAGCTCCCCCCCCCCCCCTTCCTCCACTCCACACCTAGCTTCACTTCGAGGAACTGTGTCACAACCAAAAGAAAGAAAACTATGATTTGCATCACAAAGAAACAAAACTGCAGAAATACCTTATAACTGTTCCATTAGTATTGATCATTATATATTTCCCGCATGGAGAGAATGTCATACCAGTCCATTCGCAGGATCGTTCAGCTTCTAATTTGAAAGTCGTGAAAGGACCCTTAAAAAACAACCAGAAAAAATTGGTAGGTAAAGAAGAATCACTAAGGCGTGAAACTTCGAGTCAGCACGACTCACCTTATCAAATGAGCGTAAGTCATAGAGTTTCACTTGCTCATTGTTTATGCCTGCTGCAAATATCAATCCTTCGGGGTCGAAAGCCGCAATCGCCTTTCCGTTCACCTGCATCAAACCCTGAAGAAAAGGTGCCTAATGAAAACATTCTACACCACAAATCACATCAATCAAATTGGACCAAAGCTAGCAAGGGAGACAAAAACCCACCTGACAGTTTTGAGATCTTAAGTCCCATAATCGAATGGTTTTGTCCAAAGAACCAGATAGGAAAGTGTCGTCTAGTGGATTCATACTCAAACACATAACTCTGAAAAACTATTATTACGAAAAACCGTAATTTTCGGACAAGAAAACAAATCCAAAAAAAATTTCCAAAGCAGGAAAACACCATAAAACTAACTTCTTTGTATGACCCGGAAAGTATCTTATATATTTGTTGTCATGGAGAGATAGGTACCTGATCGTGTCTGAAATCATAATTTGTTGTCAATGTGACAATATGGAATACTTGTAAAGATTAAGATACAAAGATGTCGAATCTATTAGGTTGATGCATATGTTTTTAACCACGTGTTTGATCCTTCCGTATTTCGTTTGCATGGATGTTGGTATTTCGTCATCACGTGTGCGTGACGTGTACATGATACTCTTTCATCACACTAGCTATCACTCACCCACCTTGCATTTGCAGGCCACAATGTCGCACAATTACCACTGTGACAGAATGTACCTGCGCCACTGCCTGGTTTTGCTTCACGATTCACAAAAGAAGCTTCACTTTCTCAACTCGATGATCACTGGAGATGAGAAGTGGGTCCTCTACGATAACCCTGTGAGGCGGCAGTGGGTCGACAAAGGAGAACAGCCAGAAGCCACCCCAAAGGCCGACCTTCACCCCAAAAAGGTTCTCCTGTCCTGTTGGTGGTCCAGAAGAGGCATGGAGTACTGGGAGCTGCTGGAGAAGGGACAGACGATTGACGCTTCCACATACGTGACCCAGCTGCGGAAATTGAAAGATCACGTCGACCGTACTCGTGGATCGAATGCGGAAATCTACTTCCACCATGACAACGCCCGACCTCACACCGCAAAGGCGACCCAGGCCGAGCTGGAGAAGTACGGATGGCTGATGGTCGCCCACCCTCCCTACAGCCCTGACCTCGCTCCTTCTGACTACTGGCTGTTCAGCCACCTGCAGCGCTATCTGGACGGAAAAAAGTTCGAAACAAAGGATCAGGTCAGAAAGGCACTCGACGACTTCTTCAAGTCCCAGCCCCCGTCGTTCTGGAAGGATGGAATCGACAAGCTGCCTGAGCGCTGGCGTCGAGTAGTGGATGGTGATGGTGCATACCTCTAATCTTCAGGCTGGTTCGCTTTTGAGATATTTACAAAAAAAGTCGGGGTTAAAACATATGCATCAACCTAATATTGAAGCTCCCAATTCACATGATCGCGAGCAGCGTGGCACAGCTAAGCTCGAGCATCATGCATGCTCGCTTCAAGTAGTGATATGCGTGTTATAAGGGTCAAAAATCGCCACAGACCTAATTCGGGCCAAGCTTTCCCCAGTCAGCAGACGTGAGGAAAACCGAGCCCGACTTACGAAAATTTGTATAATAAAGAGTTAGCAAGCAGTTCACCACAAGGATCACCTGCTTCAGTTCACCACAGAGTTTACCACAAGGATGCTGAGTGATGAGCAAGAGCCTTATCTCGAGACGAGGCTTGATCCCGTTACTCTTTACACGGGTGGATAACTGATTTTAGGAAAGCGACCTGCAGCGCCAAACAGCAGTCATCGTAATAAGACAAGTTCAAAAAGTGCGAGCAAAGTAATTCATGGTGCCCCATTGCGGCTGGTTGCTTCAACGCTTCTAAGGGAATTTTTTAAGCTCGGCCTTATGATAAATGGGAAAAGTTTAGGTAAAAGCTTGTCTTACTGAAAAAATACATTACGGAAGCGCACAGGAACTCACCGTCAACCTTTGTAGAGCAGTGTATTGCATTACTAGTGTTGTGGGAGAAGCGAATGAGATCAACACCGTATTTTTTACTATTCACCTGAAATCAAGCCCATAAATGAACTAATGACAGTAAAAAAATAACCGTTCATTTGTGAAGGATGCTCTGCCATACGAGGCTTTTAACTGGGAGGTGTTAGAATCTAACAAGGTTAAGGAAGATACCGAGCTTATACAAGAATGAGGCTGAAGACTATTCACGCAGTTTTCTACAGCAACCTTCATTTGGACAAGAAGGACAACAAAACTTCTACATTTCTACTTTCGAAAAGGCAATAAAGCCAACCATAAATGAAGGGTTTTGCTTCAGCTTTTTAGAAATCTCCTCAAGATAAGGATAAAAGAGGAAAGTAGGGAAAACCCTTTTTCGTACTGCACAATACTGCGTTCTTATGAGGCTACTCTCGAGCAAATTATGCCCAAATTATAGCATACGACTAAAAGACGTGAGAATTGAAAAGAGACATTGAACTCTTCCAGCGCAACTTTATTTGTTACCAGTTTACCAGCTATTCACAAACCCAACCCCATATCTGCAGAAGATTATTTGCGTGATCAATACCACCGTATTAGAGCCCACTAGGTCAGAAATCTTCGAAAGCATGTCCTGCGATCAAAACTGGTGAGTTATGGGGCTAAATACCACCGACAACATGGAATAAACCTCATTGGTAAAGAAAAAAAAACAGAAAAGCCCTCCCAGAAGTGCGTTAGAACACCAAATCCCCTCTGCCAACATGTGCTTGTACGAGTGCAGTGCGTGTTTGAACGAGTTCTCGCTTGCTAATTTTCTTTTTTCCTTTACTACCTCACTTTCACCTTTCGGGATTGTCAGAGCTCATAGTAATAAGCGGAACAACCGCAACATCAGCAAAGTTTTAAAAGGGGGAGACGTAGTGCAAACAGTAGGCGGAGTATTGCCCTCGGCACGCGCTTCGCGCATAGCGACCTTGCCACGCATTCAAGCCACAAAAATGATACACCTTCTGTGCTTGCCCACCCAGGAAAAAATCTTTTCGCTCAGCGTGGAAATCTGACGATGAAAAATAGAGTTATTTGCAGATGAAAAGAGACAAACGTACATTGCGTGTTCGTGTCCCCGTTTGCATGCTGTAGATGAAGATCGAGTCATCATCACTCGATGTTATCATAGTCAAGCCATCGGACGAGTAATCCACGCTGTTTATCTGGAAATTTTCAGTTAAAAACTGCCTACCTAGTTCAAATTGGAGCTTCTGAAAAGTTGCGAAGCTTCGGCCCTAAGAGTAAGAGCAAGGCAGAAACTGCTCCATACAACCCTTCCTTGCAAGTAATTCAAACAAAGTTCTCAGTCGTTTATTCCGCTGCTTGAGCCATATGTTCTTTTAAGGTCGTTAAACCTGATATCCACTGCACGCACGAAAATAGACTTATATGATACCACTCAAAGGAGTATTTATTGATTAACAATTCAGCGGTTCCCATAGGGGAAAGTTCCTATCGAAACCAGCCATGTTTGTCGATGTGAAAGGACTTTCGGCTTGAAACCTCACTAGTGATTCATACTTCGCGATCCGACCGCTGTAAGATAAAAACGCGAAGTATGAACGCACTCTGAGCGAAGCGAAAGACTGGGAGTTCCGTCTTGACCACTTAAAAGCAAGGCTCATTAAAGTAAACTCGAAATCTTTTGTTTCAGTCATTAACCACGGAGTTGTTAAATGATGGAGGTACCAGTGGTGAAGGACGCTTTGAATGATACTTTCTTTGACATGGACTATCTCTACGAGCAGCAATGAACAGTCAAAGCATGGTCACAGCGTGACCCATAGCATAGACCGCCTCTACTGGCGCACAGCCGGCCTTAGGAAGTTTAACGAGTTCCAAGCAATTAATTTCGATGCAGCTAACGTCAGTTCTCCATCCTTCGGGGTAAGCCTTAAAAGTGCGACCTAGTCGCAGCAACGTTACGCTTCAGCGCCTTACCTCTGACGTGAAACCTGTACAATTGTCCAGCACACATTACCCTTCCCCTACACAGAATTTCGATCTCATGAGTGATCGCGGAATGGGCCTTACGAGGCTCTCCCCTGTGATCCTCAATCATAATTCAAACTGATGGAATGGAAAAGAATGGGGGCGACATACGGCCCTGAAAAATGTCCACACGAAAATTTTGAAGAAATCTGTGAACCAAAAAGAACGATGTTTTGAAAAACATAGATAGGAAGGGCGAAAACGTTCTGTCTCCCGGGGGTTCCACTATCTCTCTTTCACTGCTTTGCCAGGAAATAAAACGTTCGTGGTAACATGTCAAAAAGAAAGAAAGTATATCACCGAAAACCGAAAAACATGAGGAATCAATTTAACTATTACTGCATACCCTTTGCAAGGCTATGCAACCTCTTTTAAGTTATCCTTAATAAGTTTTCAAGATGAGAGTGCAGTTAAAACTTATAGTAGTCAGCTTTAAGGAATTTCGAAGCGGAGTAATGAAAACCTGGGCCACAGCCGCACACAGCGACTCTAAAGTAATGACGAATCTGAGAAAAAAGAAAGCATACTATTGATTCGAAAAAGTGACAAATCCGCAGAATTCCTAGAGATTCAGCGCCGGCAAACTGTCGGAATTGTCCACAAAGACTAGATAGGGAGCGAGCGTTTATGCCCACCTTCAGCGGTGTACTGGGAGAGATGGCGATTCCTCGGAATATGTGGAATAAACTTGAACATCCTTGTTACCAAAACCTTCTTATTCCGCGGCTTCCTTGTGTATGAACTCGGCATTACCATGGTTAGACGGTTCAGATGTGAAAAAGTACATATGAACCATTCTTCTGCGGCTTTTGATATGATTTAACATTTCTTGCGGCACCAATTCTTCTGCAAAAGCAAAATTCCTAGTCAATGGGCGCATGGTGTATTAAAGATACGAAAACGACTTATCCAAGCATTTCTTTAGAGCGTTACATTTGTTGATTCTTAGCTGTTTTTGAAGAAGTGGATTATAATCGCAACTGCACCGGCAATCCCCAACCGAATACAGAAAGCGGCGCTGTTTGGCCAGAAAGGGGCACTTTTGCATTCTCGCTAGTTCGTTTTGTTATTTCTTGATAACCTTTGGCGAAGGCTGCAAACTCACGAGAAAGTGAATATCTGAAAACGGCGAAGGCTGCAAACTCACGAGAAAGTGAATATCTGAAAACAAGATGCCCTAAACAGTTCATTCCAAAGAGATCAAAATGCGCAGAAGATCCAAAACTATTTAGAATATTTATGCAATATTCCGGCGCTTAGCACTTTCCTCAATCCTGAAATACTCCTAATGTAGTTAGATACTGCACAACCTACACTGAATTAAATCGTGGGTCTGCTTCTAGCAGTGGGACTTACTCCTTCCGTCGAGAATAATCAAACTAACCACATTAGGAAAGGAGTATTCCAGGCATAACGAAAGTGCTAAGCACCTAAATATTGCGACAAATGTTCTAAAGAGGCTTGCTGGACCTTTCGCGCCTTTAAACTCTTTGGGATAATTCTTTTTTTGAAGTTTCTTCTTGTTTTTGTGCATTCAGATAACCATGAAGCTCAGGGATAGCACAGTACTCAGATATTTTGAGAAGCTTTTAATTGGTCTCAGGTTGGTCACTCTTGCCACAAGAATTAACAGGACTTCACTAGGAGCTTGTAAGACTCGTTGATCATCGCTCAGTGTCATCACCAAGCCGAACTGCGTCCAAAAGACCATTAGGGGAGGAAGCCAAATGCTGCATTTTTTCTTATGTTTTTTTACATTTATTACACTTGTAGAAACAGAACAAACAGCTCGAAAAGACAAGCCACAGCTTGGAAATCTAAAACAAGAGCAAACGACATACCCTCATCGAATTCTCGCTGAATTTCTTCGCACACACAAAATGTTGCACACTTCCTGGCGTCAATTTCATTTTGAAGAACAGTTGTTCCTACCGAATAGTAACGATACAGCTCTTCCAGCTTTCGTCTGTGAATGCAGCGAAATCACCAACTAGCAAATTTTGGGGGGCGGAGCCAAGTAAGATGTGCAGGGTCCTTAGTCGAGTCGACAGCGTCGATGATTTTCTGGCTTTGGGCCAACCTTTCCACCGATGCTCTATGTATTCTCATTGGATTCCGTTCAGAATATCGATTTCATCGGTTTTTGTAGCTAAAGCTAGGAACAGTGGACATTTTGGGCCCAAGTATTTGTTAAATTTGGTACTCTAGAGGTGTGGCGTTTGTGGGGTGTGCGTTTCGCTCATTATGTGGACTTTTTCCTTAATATGTATGACGGTTTTTCAACATTCAGTGTGTCAGTTGTGTTGTGGAAGTCGTTACGGGCACTGGGGCCTCCCACTCTGCTTCTTCCCTTGCGCTGTAGCTCAGCCCGTGCGCTGAGCTGCGCAGAGAACGGATAGCAGAGGGACGGTAGATTGAGAACACTGGGCGGGGCGTTTTTTCAAGGTATGATATAGGTTATGGCACAGGAATATGTGGGTGACAAGAACTGCTAGCCGCTGATAAAGGGAGTTAGAGTGGAAAGGACAACATACTCATAACGCGGTACACAGCATCAGTTAGGCGTTGATTTCAGCAAATGATATCAAGGGGAAGGTGGAGAATGCGACGGCGGGGTGACAAGAAATGAAACAGCTGTAGAGGCCTGATAGAGAATCGATGCCAGTTGTTGTTCAATCAAACGCTGGAGCCTCTACTACACACGAATTATGGAGTTTTAGTGATAGCGACATTGATGGCGAGTGACAAGCAATTTTATCAATTGATAAGTAAAGATAAGGGGACATTTTCACGACATCTCTGACCACTACACTGCCAAAAAAGCCTCTCAGTAAGCGAAATTTTCCCACAGCCATCACTCCTCTGATAGCACTAGAAAATGTACTCATCCCACATCCATTCGATGGGGATTTTGGTCGAGCTTTGACGACCCCCCCCC